GGGAAGGCTTGCTGGGATTGCTGGGCAGGTTTCTTCTGGAGGGTCCCATCTCTCTGGAGTAGCTGCAGTGGAGTTGAGGGCAGGTTCTCCGGTGAGGTAGGAATGTGCAGGAACTCCGCCCTCTGGGCACAGTCACACAAACCCAGCAAAACAGCCACAGCCAGCCCTAAAACCTCTAATGATCTTCACCTTCACCTCTTTCTAACCCAATTCTCCACCACTTTTTGACCCATTTACCCAGGCACCTTCACCACGGGGCGGGGTGGGGGGGTGGGGGGGTGGGTGGAATTCAGAACGAGAACCTCTCGGCAGTTACATGCAGTGAAAAGCTGCTACAGGCACTAGTGCGTGGATAGACATCTCTGTAGGGTTGTGTGTGCCTATATGTATGTATACATATTTAGTGCCATTCGTTGAATTTGCAGTTGTGTAATATGTATGTGCATATACTTGCTCTCTTGGGCGGGTGTATTATCCATGATTATACAATTAAACACATAGCAGTGACTATCTACAGGCAAATTTTTTTTTTTTGGTTGGTTGCTGTTGTTTGTTTGTTTGGTTGTTTTTCTGTTTTGTTTTGTTTTATTCCATCCTAAGGGAAATTATGAACAATTAAAGAATACAGTCCCTAATAAAACAATGAGTCTTGCTCAACGTTCTTTCTTAAGCAAAACTCTGATGTGGTTCAGTCAGACCGGCGTTCAGTGGGAGTTTTGCTTGAGTGCATAGTGAATACGTGGTGATTGAGACCTCATGTTAACACAAGTGGTGAGGGGGTGTGTACCTGAATCATAATTTCTGACATAAATCTTAATAATCATCATCAGAAGTTATAAAGAGCAAAATGACGTCCCAGTTAAACTATTTTTTCAAGTACCAGATTAAAAAATTTATCACTCCCCCAAACAGTAGTTTTGTGCCATTTAAGGCAAAATATATTATTGTTCGCTTTCTTATAAACCTGTTCGTAAGAATACATTCCCCATAACTGACGCTATTTTACTGAAACAAAAGAAAAATATTTGAAATATGTCAAAAATTGGTTAGCCAAATATTGCATTGTGGATTCGAGTTACAGTTTATTATCCCTCAAACATGGTTGCAAAGGCAATCTTAAAATCGTAATTGGAGGTTTCTTGATGAGCAGATTTCTTCTCCTACGATCTATGTGAGCAAAGTTAATCACCTCAAACATCAACTAGGAATATAACAATAGCTCCTTAATTCCATAAAGACCATCTGTCCCCCATAAACACTCTAAATTAGGAAACGCTAAAGAAACAACGCTAAGACACTGCAACATTCTAGAAATGTGCATATTAAAAAAAAAAAAATCTCGAAAGCTTAGCTTGAGAATTTGACATATACACCACCATGGAAACAAATATCAGATAACAGAATTGTTATTGCCTGTTTTTTGTTTTTTTTTGGTTTTTTTTTTTGTTTGTTTGTTTGTTTGTTTTTTTTTTTTTTAAAAAAAAAAAAAGACAACCAAACCCAAAACCTCACATTCAGTACCGAGCGAGCCTGTGCAAAGATCAGCCTAAAAGACATCCTCAGCGAACAAAAGAGTTTTTCTGGCTGGGGAGCAGGCAAAGGTAAAGGCATGTTTGGGGCCTTGGCAGTGCTGCTACGATCCCTGACAACTTTAGCATTTTGGGTTTTTTTTCCTTTACAAAGACAGTCTTGATGTAGGTAATATGTGTATGGAAACGTGAATAAATTACCAGCTCTGCAGCCACCCCTTCCCCCAGAGCAAGAGCAAGAGGGAAAAGTCTGGGGCACCTGAGCTGCTTAGGCAGCACTTTGCTAGGCTGAACCTAAAGGAGAGCACTGAGAGCCAGTGCTTGCCTAAAGCAAGTCTGGAGAGACATACATCAGGACTACCCTTTTCAGGAATTATGCATCACGCTTATCTAATTAATGCTTATTAGCTAGCCCCAAACTCTGACATGGCGAGAGTGTGCTTTCCTCCAACCTGACTTGTCTTTTTCCTCCTTTTAGTACACTGTCAGCAGATCTTTTTGTAATTGCAAACTAAATAATACTTTTAAGTACATGCTGCTGGATTCCCTACAGTATAGAACCAATTGCAAGTGGTAAATAATAAATCATCTCCTTTGTCAGCTGCAGCAGATGCCATTCTTTTAATTTGCTTAGGCACAAGTATACGGAATGGGATCCCAAGGCTTCAAGAGTTTAAATCACATCTATTTAATTTTCTTATTTCTGATAGGTTTGCTGCAAAGGAGTTTTGTTTGTTAGTTTTTTGTGATCACTTCTTTTAATGACAATAAAGTGAAGAATATGGGGGAGGGTAGGCGCTTCCAAGTGGTGGTATCATCTCTTTATCCCCAAACAAAGCAACCTTTTTCTCATCGTGATGATTAATTTTGAATTGCAGAAGTGAGAGTGAAAGCCAAGAATATCAGAGTTTTCTCTCCTTCTCCCCCACATAGTGCAGAGCTGGGTGTCCCATCTCTCATCCGTAACCTTTCACTCCTCTCTCTTTCCTGCAGATCTGCTTGCATCTGTTTATTTATTACTTATTTTCGGAAGACTTCCCCTCCCTCTCCTTACTTTTGCAGCATGGCAAATACTCTCTTTGCAGGAATTCAGATTCTATATTGCTTCTTTATTCACCTCCCGGCATTTTTTTTCTTCCTCTTTTCTGTCTTTCTAAGATCAGCTCTTTAAAGCGTTTGCGATAACATCTCCGACTAGAGATTATTTTTCATTGGGCCTATTGTGAGCAGTCGCCGGCTTATTGCACTGCTGCAGAGTCCAGTTTAGGCTACACAAACGTAACAAATGAACAACTTGTCCTCTGCGGACTCACCGCAGGATCCAATTAGTTCCTAAACCTTTTGCACAAGTTTTCTAATTATTTTCAAGAGTTGCGGTTTTCACAGGCTCCCCTAAACTCGTCAAGAAACCAGTTCTTTTTAGGATTAACTGCCTCTTAAAATTAGTCGTAGCATTGCCCCCTTAAAACTAATGGATAGATTCTCCGGGCAACGGAGCATACCCACGGGGGCTCGCGTGGGCTGCGGGGTTTCCGCAAGCCTCTCCGCGGGTGGGCGCGGAGCAGGGAGCAGCTCCAGTGCAAAACTTTACACTGAAGTGCATCCACGCAGGTCTGTGGGGTTTGTTCCCCCCCCCCGCCCCCCCGCCCCCCCCCCCCCCGGGGAAACATCGGTATGCGAGCCGGGCCGTCACGTGACCCGGCAGCCCTCTGCCTCGCCGCGCTGCGACCCCCCCGCCGCCGCGCTCCCCCCACGCCCACGGGGGCCACGGGCGCCGCTCCCAGCCGGGACACGGGCCCCACTTTTACAGTATCGGCAGCCAAAGCGTTTGCAGCATTAAAAGTATAGAAAGATATATAGCCCAGATACTTCCGGAACAGTGTTCCTTTAAGGTAAGGATCGAGGGTGATACACACACGTATCATAGCTTGCTAAATTTGAGCAAATGACTGTATGAAAGCTAATATGTATATGTATATACACACACATACACATTCATAGTTAATTTATCTCCAGTTGTCAGAGAGTCGAAACTAATTGCCGTCAGAAGAACAATTCTTTGAATGCATTTCAGAGATTGCAAGAACAACACGTATCTATGCAATAATGCACCTTATTTTTTTTCTAACGTGTGCATATATACTTAAATTTTATATGTATGTATATATAGGTATATATATGCGTATGCAATTTTAAGCACCTTCAGCGTAAGGCAGAGTTTTCAGTAAGACGCCCTACCTTGTACTAACAATTTTTAAGCAGACTTGATAAGAGTTCTGCCCCAAAACGGACATCACAATCGTGGCCGTGACGTTTAATTAAATACCCTGATCCTTTACATTTGAAAATACTGCTGTTAAAGACAATATGATCTGAGGGGGTGCGGGGGGGAGGAGAGGGGAGAAAGGAGCATATGAAAAATGGTGGACTGCTGTAATAAGCAGCGCTCTGATCTCCCTGCAACTTTAAAGCCTCTGGCATATTAATTTTAGTTAATAAAAGAGACAAAAAAACTATCAAGTATATATGAATTTAGCCTATTTTTTTTTTATTTCTGTGTGTTCATAGTAAACATTTTTGTAAGTGACAAACACGGGCATATGACCACAGTATCACAATCAAGAAATTTTAAGACGACATTAACAATCACTCAAATTTATGCGGCATTTGCGCAACACAGGTTACATATTTGCAAGGTTTACCTATAAGTACAATAGGTATTAACATTTCACTACATTTAGAAAAAAAATAAAGGTGACCTGTTAGTGACCACATACATCAAAATATACACAACACAAACTGAAGGCAATCATTAATTTTGTCCCCTTCTGATTCATTTGAACGGGCAGTGCTGCAAACTGAAATAATGTTGTTTTTATTTTTTTTTTAAATTACTCCTTACACTGAGTGCATTTTCTAAAACCCAATCTTTGGTCTAAAAGTAAACAAACAAACAAACAAACAAACAAAAAAAAAAAAGGAACCCAAAAAAAAAAAAAAAAGCAGTTCAGTAAAGAAATGGATAAAATAATAAATGGCCAAAATGTAGTTCTTGGGCATCTTTCAGTATTATTTCTGCTTAAATACAAATTACGTTTTAAGTTTTTTATAGCTTTCATAAATTTAGTGGTGTTTTTTTTTTTTTTTTCTTTCAAGGTCTGCACCCACCGACATATCCATGATAACTTATAATACTGCAAACATGGAGAATCTGGCGGCTTTTAGTGATAGATTTATCGTATTGGAATAAAAAAATTGCAAAAGCAGTCACTATTTAGATACACATTCTACTATAATTTTGTCTTCCAAACTTCATAGTCTACAATGTAATCTCCCCACATTGCACCTTGCTGACACTCCTCACCTTGGTGGAATAATAAACAACCCTAAAGACTGAACAAACGTACAGAAAATGGGGGACTTAATAAAAAATACCTGGACTTTTTTGTTTTGCTTTTTTTTTTTTCTTTTTCTTTTCTTTTAATTATCATTTACAATGCAAATGTGTGTAAAATGTTCACTTACAGTCTGATCCCATGGATGTTAATGTATTAAAGGGTTTGAAGAAGACCCCTGATTTTGATGTGTGAAATAATCAGAAAGTCCTCCGGAAAGTCCCGTTGTAAAACTTGGCAAAGAAGGTCTTAAGGACTCACAGGGGAGAGTGGAGGGCGCCTGTGGCGATGTGGAGGAGGAGGCTGCCCTGGCCGTCATTGAAGTGCTGCTTTGAGAAGTCATTGAAGGGTGAGGAACATGGGGGAAAAAGTAACTCGTCTGTCCTGCTAGGAGGTTTACAGAGCAGGGGTTTAGGGAATAGGTGCCGGAGCAGGGAACTGACAAGCCACACGGCACTGAGGCGGCCAGAGCTGCTGCTGTGAGGTGATGAGTGGCATAAGGTATCTCTCCATTGACTAGTCTATCAACACTTAACCCATTAGACGTGGAAAAGGAGTGGTTGTTTCCCAAGGAGTTTTGAGTCAACACTGAGCTGTAGGGCATGGGGTGGCTGGGGTAGGCGGAGGTGGTCCCATTGTAACTCAAAGTGCTGCTGGCCCGGGGGTGGTGCAGGGAGAGGAAGGGGGACATAGGCCAGTACAAGGATCCTGCCCTATCCATGAATGTCAGTCCGGTGGAAGTGAGCCGGGCGCCCCGCTTGAAGGCCAGCTTGGCCCGCGAGGTGGTGGAGCGCCGGCGGAGCTTGCCGGTGGTGCCCCCGATGAAGACGTCGTCGCTGGAAGGGTCCAGCATCCAGTAGTTCCCTTTGCCCGGGTCGTCGTAGTGGCGGGGCACCTTGACGAAGCACTTATTGAGGGAGAGGTTGTGGCGGATGGAGTTCTGCCAGCCCTGCTTGTTCTCCCGGTAGTAGGGGAAGTTCTTCATGATGAACTCGTAGATGCCGTTGAGCGTGAGGCGCTTCTCGGGGCTCTGCCGGATGGCCATCATGATGAGAGCGTTGTAGCTGAACGGCGGCTTCTCGTACTTGCCGTTCTTCTTCTCCCCCTCCTTCCCGCTCTCCCCGTCCTTGGCCCCCTCTGCCGCCCCCTTCTTCTCCTCCGACGCCTTCTCCTTCTCCTCCAGCTCCGCTGCTGCCGCCGCCGCCGCGCCCGCATCGCCTTTGCCGGCCAGCATGTCCGCCTTGGCCACCTCCAGGGCGCCGGAGGCGGCTGCCGTGGCGGCGGGGGGCGGCAGGAGGAGCTGCCCCTTCTCCTCGTCCTCCTCCTCGGCCGCGGCGGCTCGCTGGGGCTGCTGCGGCGGCGGGTGGTGGTGGTGGTGGTGGTGGTGGTGGTGGTGGTGGGGGTGGTGGCTGTTGTGGTGGCTGTGGCTGCTGTGGTTGTTGTCGCTCTGGACGGCTTCGGGCACCAGGCTGTTTATGCTAAAGGAGGATTTCGGCAGCATTTTCACTTCCTTCCTATCTCCCATGTCCAACATCACACACTAGTCTGAGGGGGAAAGTTGCAGCGGCCGAGGGAGCAGCGCTCGGGGCGGCGGCGGCGGCGGCGGCGGCCGAGGCGGCGGCGGCGGCACCACCGGCGGCGGCGGCGGCGGCGGCAGCGCAGTTGGACCGCAGTCTCAAGCGCTGGCAAGTCATGTAGCAAGGACAGGAACCGCCGGGGAGGGAAAAAAATAATAGTAATAATAATCACCAATCAGATAAAATCAAACCGAGTCAGAGCGGAGTTAAAAAAAAAAAAAAAAAAAGGTGAAAAAAAAAAGGGGGAAAAAACCCTCTGAAAACCCAACAACAACAACAACAAAAAAAAAAAAAAAACAACACACAAACACACACCAAAAAAAAAAAAAAAAAAAAAAAAAAAAAGCTACTTCATGGTGCCTGGTTCCCCCGGCAAGGCAGAGCAGGGGGGAGGAAGGAGCAGCCGCAGCCGCGGGTCGGCGAGGAGCGAGCGGAGACGGGCTATACAGACCGCCCTGGCCGCAATTAATTTCAGAGCTGCAGACACGCACCGGGGCTGTAAAAAATTTTTTGGTTTAACCTTTCCCACCGGCCGCCCAATCAGGGCCGGCGGCGTGCCGGCGCGTCTGCCCGCCCGCCGGCCAATGGCGGCCCTCCGCCCCGCCCCCTCCCGCCACCGCCCCGCCCCCCCTCCGGCTCCCGCGGCGCAGGGATACCGGCGCAGGGGCGCATCACCGCGGCGGTTTGCGCGCACCCACACCCCACCCGCCCCCCCCCCCCCCCCGCACTCCCTCCCCGGCCCCTCGCTCCGCGCACAAATCCCCTCACGCCAAACAAACAACGCCCGTCCCACGGCTGCAGGCCCGGCCGCGTTTCCTACTTCGTAGTTTATCCGGTGGACTAAAGTTGCCCCGTCCCTCTTTGCCCCCTCCTCTGGCGGCGAAAGGAGGCGGGGTGGGAGGCCGGGTGGGCGAGGAGGCCGCGGCGCACCGGTGGCGGAGGTACTACTTTGCGGATCCCGCCGAAGTCACTCGGCGAGTTTATTTTTTCCTAGGCCCCGCTGTCGGTTTATGGCTATTTATTATTTTACCAAGAGGACAAAAAAAAAAAAAAAAAAAAAAAAAAATCAGCCGGAGGGGGACGCGGACGATGAGGCGGTCCCGCGGGTCTGGGGCCGGGCGGGACGGCGGGCTGCCGGGGGAGGCGGTGTCCGGCCCGTCCCCGCCGCGCTCCGGCATGTGAGTTGGGCAGGCTGGGAGGCGAGCGAGCCCTCTCCTCCTCTCCGCCCGCTGTGTGTGTGTGTGTGTGTGTGCGTGTGCGTGTGCGTGTGCGTGTGCGTGTGCGGGGCCCGCTCCGCGCTGCCCGGCCCCTTCCCCGGCCCCGCGCAGCTCTCGCCTGCCGCTTCCCTGGCCGGGCCGCCGGCGGCCCCCGGCGTCCCCCTTCGCGCTGCCGGGCGGCCTCGGCCAGCAAAGCGCAAGGCCGCGTGTCAGGTGTAAAAACAATAAATCATAGTATCAAGAACCCCATGAATTATACATCTATATATCGCGTTTTCTTGCCCCCCCCCCCCCCCTCACCGGCCCGGCCCGCGGTGTCCGGCCACGGGTCTCGGTTCCGCGGGGTTTAGTTTCGCCACGGCGGGGGGCAGCGGCTCGGGGCCGGCGGGACCGTGGGCACCGCCGCTCTCTGCCCGGCGTCCTCCGAGTGCGGGCGGTGCTGGGGCTGACGGCGGCAGCTCCCGGGGACCAGGGAACCGGGTCGTAATCGTCCCCGTCGTTCCTTACCGTCAGCACCGGGAGGAAAGTCAGCCCTGAAAGAAAGCGAAATAAATCGCGCAGCTTTCTCACTCGGGAAAGGGAAATGTAACGGGTGGAGAGCTGGCTGATCACATCCAGACCGGAGCTGCGGGCAAAAGCAACGTACAGCGCCGCGTTAAGCTGCCGAAAGTTTGCGTTTGTGCTGCAGGGGGGAAAAAAAAAAAATGCCGTAGAAATAATACGTGCAGCTCAAGCCCAGCTCAAACAATTTATCCCGGGGAAATTCAGGTTAGAACTCAGCGCAGCAAATGTGATTATGTGTAGATGTGCGTTTTATATATGTGTTTGTATGTATGTGTGTGTGTGTGTGTGTGTGTGTGTGTGTGTGTGTGTGTGACGGAGGGAGAGTGAATGTGAGAAAGAGAGAGTAAATAACGAGAACAATTACAATGGACTGGTAATAAACAATTGCAATTGGGAATGGCATGAACTCTGTGCATTGGATTAACCTCGAATGACCTTACCACAATTGTATTTATTTATCCAATTTCATAACAGGTTGCTACTGACAAAAAAAGAGATAAAAGTCAATGATCAACCACTCTTATTTTTTACCTTTTTTTTTTTTTTTTTTTATTAGAAATGCAGTTTAAAGAAATCATGTCAATTTGTAATCACTTCATTGCTCAACACTGAAGTCAATGTATGGGAATTCTCAAGGATGAGAGCGATGTGGAGGGTATGACTTGACTCTACCATGGCAAAGGGTAAGAGGAAAGGTAAGATTCCTGCATATTATTATGATTATGATGGTCATTAACTAATATGTGTCATTATGGTGCACTAGGATCCCTTTAGGATGGCTGGGCCCAGTGCATTTTCCTACTCGGTCTAGCATGTAATGATTCGGTGTAACCGGATTCTTGAGAAAGGACAGGTTACGTAAACATTTACTGATGTGGAGTAACTATACTATTTGTACTCTGATATGCAGGAAGGAAAGTGTTGATTAACACAGAAGAAAAAAAAAGCGAAATTAGCTGATTGCATGCTCATAAGTGCAAGCTGTCATTGAACTGCTTTTAAAATAGACACAGCTGGGTGTTTGTGTTGAAAAATTTCTTGTGTTTTTGCTAATACTGAAATAAGCATGATTTTGTATACCAAACATTTTCAGATCATTAAAATTTGTAATCTGTGCTGGTTTTAAACACAAAGAAAAGAAACAGATTCATTTCGCTGTAAAATTTGCTGATATTATATTAACTCAATCAGGTCTGTACAAATGGTGTATTGTGCCTTATCAAATCGCTTTGATCCATTTAATACACAAAGTGCCAAACGTGTGTATTGTTTGTTAACATTGAACGTTTTATTCAAATCCCAGCTCTGCAGCGAACTGGAGGAGTTCTCGTTTAATGTAACATTGACATTGCCTGTTGAAATTTTAATGCGTTGAGGTGTTTCTTAGGTCAAAGCTGAGTTTGCTTTGCGTTGTGATCAGGGATGAAAATGTAGTAGGGAAGAAAATAAATGTTTTATCTTTTTGCATTTCTGAGCAAAGGGCTAACACCGAAAGAAGCATGCTTTTAAAAAGTTTGATGATCTAGATTTAACATTCAGTCATTTGTCACGGGTGCAGAATAAAGCTCTGTGCACAAACTTAGGATTTATATTATTATTTTTTTTAATGCCGTGGATATACAGTTCTACCAAAAAAGGAAATGTTGCGTCCAATATGTAGCATGAAGCTTTCTAAACCCATGAAGATTAATTCACTGTTTACAGGACAGAAAAGGATATGTAAGAGAATCAATTATTATTTCTGCTGGACTTTAAATTTCAAGTCCCTTTCTTTTTTTTTTTTTTTTTTTTCTTTTCTTCCGCAGAAAATTCTCTGTTTATAAAACTGGGGATATTTACTTTGGAAATGCAGGAGCCTTGCTCTAGTGCCAGCTCTTCCCTGAGCTCTGCCCTGGCCATGACTCCCATTCACTTCAGTGGTGGCTTTGTGCGTTGTAGCGCTGCGTGAGCAGCCAGTGTGACCCCTCAGCTCTGGCTAAACTTGAATTCTTGTGAGAAAGTCCCTCACAGCAGCATTTTCTAAGAGAGAAGTTTTTGTGGGGTGTCTGGAGAAGACGCTTGTGTGTGGAATGGAAGCACACGACCTCAGCCCTGCGGAACATGAGTGGGTGTGTGGAGGGGACCCAGCTCCCTGCAGAGCATGGATGCTCCCTCACCTGCGCGCTGGCCCACGCTGTGGACCCGCTGCACGGAGCGGCGGGAACGGGCAGAGAGGGTCCAGCTCTGGGGTCAGGACGGGGGTGAATGACTGAGCCGAAACATCCTGGCTGAAGTGCCATTCAACAGCAACCTCCGTGCAGTTCTTGGGTATAACTCGTAGGGATAGTGTTTCAACTGCACGCTTTTCTCCCTCTTTTTTTTTTTTTTTTTTTTTTTTTTTTTTAATTAAAGGCCAAAGGAAAAACAGACGCTCTCCAGTGCAAGCTCAGTGCATATAGCATACCCCCTGCCGCCCCCCAGCTCCAGCCTTCAATCCCCCTTCACACGGGTACAGCGGCTCTGTACTCTCAGACTCTTTCAAGGGGTTAAGCTGCTAAAATGTACTGACAGCTTAAGAAATGAATGAGGGTTTTTTCAGCCATGAAGAAAGGGTATTTAATAACCACGCTTCGATGGCATCATGCTTCCATGAAACGAGTCGGGACACTTTGGTTTAACAATCAGTAATATCACATTCGGTACAGTAAATGCCTGGATGTACGCATATATAATTCTATTCCCCCTTGACTCTAAGCTTGCCTTATTTATTCCAGGTTACCTGAGCAATTAAGGTAAGGGCTGCTCAGCAGACACTGATACCCTGCTGCTAAGGCATGGCGAATGGGGACAGAGCGGTTCGCTAACAAAGAGAAAGAGGTAGTCAAACATTTTGAAGAGGGGTGAATGGGACTGAAGGTGGATGGATGAATGGAGGCAAAGAGGGAGAGGAAGAAGTATTCAACGGTCCACCCTTCTACCCGCATTTGTAGATTTAAGTTTAGGTGTCCATCTCCAGCCAAGTTTCAGTTAATCCTCAACAGCTGGTAGTGGTGCTAATGTTTAGTGATTAGAAGGTAGTCTATCTAGCGTGCTGTATCCTTCTTCCATGGGTTTTGGTTACAGGTTGTACGATTAGGATTGCGAGAACAGTAGTGAACTAAACTTCCCAGTAAGAGGTCTTCACACCAGGGAAGTGTTACTTTGCTGCAGCAGCCCTGCCTCGTCAGTCATTAGGAAGCTGCAGGTTGTCAGAGGCTTCTCTTGCGCGCACACACGCGCAGACACACACACGCACACACACACAAAACCACAGCACTAAAACTAAATTAAGAAGCCGATGATTAAGACAAGCGTCTACGAGGCCTGTCATTTCAGCATCC